GAACAATTTTCTGTTCTTCATTGCTGGGGATTATAATAGCAATAATTTAATGGTGGTAGAGAATTTGGGTTCTTCAATTTGTTCGTGTTGGTGAGATATTTGAGATTTCATAAGCAAGTAGGTGTTTAGGGAAAGATGAGAGAAAGAGAGTGGCTAATAAAGGCAAGAAAGAAGAGAAAGACTATGGGTGGTTCCAAACTTCCAATACATGAATCTCTAAGTTTTCAAATCAAAATTGTGTAAAGGCAATTTAGGTTCAAATACTCTCGTATACAAATCACTTTGACTATCTTTAAAAAAACACGAGAGTAATTGCATTTGGTTACCGTTAAATATCTATAATTCTACTTTAAAAAAATATATAATCCTTCCATCGCATATTACGAGTAGTTTTTACACTTATTATAGCACAAGGATTTAGCCTTTTATGTGATTAATTGTTAAGTTATCAATTACTCAAACTATTTCATTGATAAAGTAAATGTGAAAGGTGATAGGGGTACTAGGCTGATAAAAGCTAACCCGACCCAAAAACCCGACCCGACCTGAATCCGAACCGTAAATAGCGGGTTAGGGTTTAAGTTTTCGACCCAAAAACTTAAATGGGTCGACAGGAACCCAACACGGAAATTAAATGGGTTTGGTTAAGTTTGAAAATTTCAACCCGAAAACGACCCACATAACCCGAAAAATAAATCGGGTCATTATCAGGTCGGGTCAACCCGAATCCGACCTGATAACGCGAACACATTTAAGCTAAGTTAAAAAAAAAAAATCCCCGAAGCCAGCCCAAATTCGAAAAAAGCCTCCCTTATAAACTCAAAAACCCTAAAATCATATCTTTTTTCTCATTTCTCCCTGCCGTTATTTTGCCCTTCTCTCTCTCTCTTAAATTTTCTCTCTTCTCAATCCTTAAAATCCTCTCCATTGTTGTTTTGAACTTTGAAGCTACTCTAATCTCCATTGAAGCTTGTCGACTTACTCCACTTCCACATCGTCGGTCCAACTTCAATTCATCATCGATCTAACACCATTTTGTTTCGTAACTTCGAATTATTTATTTATCTAATTTTGTTTGAGTGTGGTTTATTTCTTTGTTACAGAAATAATTTCTCTAAAATTGTGTTTGGGAGTTAAATATAGTTTAGATTATTGGAATTTTACACACCTTATGCTGAATATATGTATATACTTCGTTTTATTTTGTGATTTAATTGGATGATGCATGAACAAGATTCGGATCAATCTTATGCTTCGTATGCTCACAAAGTCAGAAGCCCAGCACTTACACCTGTAGTTGAAAAATAAAAAACATACTTGTATTTTGTAATTTTGTATTTCTAATCCTACATTATGATTTATGAATTCCATTTAATTTGTGATTTTAGATACAGTACTTCGTAATGCGTTTGTAAATGTAAATCTATCTAAAGTAAACCAAAACTATCCTCTTATAATTTTTTTTTAATAAATAAAAAAAATTGGTTGAAATAATCAAGTCAAATCAAGTTGACCCGAACCCAAACAGATCAGGTTTGGGTCAAGCATTCTGACCCGAAAAACTAAACAGGTCAGGTTCGGGTTGATACTTTTTGACCCGAAACCGAATTGACCCGAACACGAAAGTGACCCGACCTGATGTGTTTGCCACCCCTAAAATTATTATTGAAAAAGTAGATATGATAGAAGATATCTTTTTTATATATATATTATTATTAAATGTGAGAGGGAGTTCCATAACTTTTAAGTAGTGGAAAGAGGGATGTATTAAAATAATAGTGGAAGATTTACTACAAATGAAATGTAAAAATTAATTTCAGACATATGAAAAAGGAAAGTGTAAAAACCAATCTAAAACAATGTGCACATTAATATGAATCTAATGACATCTCACTTTGTATTTTTTCTTCTTAACGATAGTGTACAAATAAGGCCAAAATTTAGTCATATATGTTCAACATATCCTTACTAATTGACTTTGTAGCCTTATAGGTGAGGACATAGAAGAAAATTGGTGAGATATATGGGGTCACCACAATGAAGTGTAAAGTCCTCCATTCCATTAAAAATAAAATTTGGCAAGTTGAGTAACAAATGCAACTACAAAAAGTGAGAGGAAAGAAGAAAAGAATTCATACATTTGATGGAGAAAACATTAATCCATGAACAGGCCCTTCATGACCACTTAAAACATCTAGCAAACGTCCTGTTTTCATTGACCAAACAAATATCTGAGCAGAAACAAAAAAAAAATACATTGTGTTAGACATGTTTCAAACAAATACCAGTATACCACCATGAGGAAAAAAACCTATTAATTAAGAAGTATATGCTTACCTCAAATGAATCTAATGTTCCAGCACATATAACTTCACCACTCTGATCAGCAGTCAAAGAAACAAACTGCTTTGAAGAAGGGGTAGTAAACGTCCTAAAGTTTCGATACCGGAAAAGGTCCCATGCACGAACCGTTCCATCCAAAGATGCACTTAAGAGGCTATGATTGTTAGCCATAAAGTGGAGTGCTGTGACTGCATTAGTATGCTCAGGAAATGTCACAAAACAAAAGCCAGAGGAAACATTCCAAACCTACAAAAAAGATTTACACTTAAGCATCTAGTCATAGAAACCTGCCAAATGAGCAAAGGCTGCTATCATAGAGCACAAATGCAATATACGATGCAAGACATATACATTCAAATTCAAAACCTTTTCAGAACATCCCAATTTAGAGATTTGGAGCTCAGAAAAATTGGATCACAAACGGAGGGAATAAGCAGCACTGCAGCAACATTTAAAAACAGACTGTGCCAAATATTCAATGTTGCCTCTCACCTTGATTTTGTTATCATCAGCTCCAGTAGCCAAGAGCTGTGAATCGGGTGAATAAGCAAGACAATTTACGTCAAAATAATGGCCTTGCTGCTTCAAAATATAACTCTCTGACTTCCATTCCCACACAAGCAGCTGCCCAAGCCTTGCACATCCAAAGGTTAACCAGTTGCCCAAGTCGTTAAAAACAGCAGTTGTGATCTTCTCTCGTGAAATTGACAACTGATGTATGCAAACAAAATCAGGCATTTGGTACCAACCGAAAACTCCACTTGAGTACCCCACAACTACCATATCAATCCCCTGGTGATAATCACATGCAGTCACTTTAGCCGGCGCTTGCATAAAGTAATCCTTCTTCAGCAACTCCCACTTCAGCTTATGCAGAAGAAACTCACTCCCTTCATCCCCAAAGTCCCCTTCTTTCTCATCAAACTCTTTCCTCTTCTTCACATCAACAACAGCAATGACACCATCACCGCCAATGCCACCTTCCTCATCCATCTTTTCAGGTGTCCCAGGAGAAGGCGGGTCAACCATTTCCTCATCCTTCTCTCCTTTTCCACCCAAACTACCATCAAAATCAGGGCAACCCCAACTAAACAACCCCCCATCACGCGAAACACTATAAACCCGCAAAATCTTACACGTCTTCTTATCAACCCCAAAAAACACACCCACAATTACATCTCTATGACCCAGAAACAAAAATGGCTTATTATTCTTAAATTCCTTCAATTTCCTCAAACAAAACAACCTAACAGTCAAATCCCTCGAACCCGCAATCAAATACCCCGAATCAGGGCTCCAATTCAAGCAACTAACCGTATCATCAAAATCAGCAAAAGTTCTAACTAATTCAAATGCAAAAAATTCCTTCCTAAAACCAGGTGAACGCCAAATTTGAATCAATTTACCAACAGCAACAGCAATAAACTGCCCATTTGGGCTAAATTGAAGAGCAGAAACTTTACCCTTGAAAGTGATTCTATGAAGAACAATCCGACGGTGGATATTGATGAACTGAGCCTTGCTATTCTCATCAACGGCCAAGATGAAGTTCCCGTCTGGGGATACCGCGATACGAATGATGTTTGCAGAAAATTGACAAGGTAATGTTATTGTATTCGATTTGACGAGGTCGGTGACGGAAATCCGATTACCAACCGATGAAATTAGCTGATTATTGCCGGAAACGACGACGTTTCCTCCCCTGTAAGGAGCTCCTAGAAGATTCTGGAACCTGTAATTCATGGTTGATTAGGGTTTTAGGGGGTGAAAGAGTGAGTGAGAGAGAGAATGAGTGTTGTGTTAACCCCTACAAAATTTGGGGGTGAGAGAAATACAACAATGGAGGTTGCTAAACCCTAAAAATTTTGAGAGGGTTTTAGTTGGTTTGTTTGTTTGAATGGAGGGGGTTGGCAGTTCTTGCATTGTTGCATATAGGGGTAATTTGGACATTTTTAATTAGGGTAATTTTGGAAAATAAAAGTAGTTGGATATTGGATTGGATGAAGTGGATCGATTGATTCAACCTTATTTTTTCGAGTGATGATTAAAGTACGTTGTATGACAGAGATTTCCGTATCAAAGATGTTTTTAAAGAGTATTTGAAATTTTTTTCTAATGAAACTAAGAATGATAATTTTGGTATAAAAACGCTTTAAGCTTTTATTTGTTGGTAAAGAGTTTCACTTAGTAACAAGTAAAAGAAGGTGAAAAAAGTTTGAGAAAATGATACCTATTCAATATTGTGACTTTCTATTAAGTTCTCCCTTCAATTGTTCCTTACTCAACCATGTTTCCAATTCCACCTAAGTAATCTAACTCATCATATTATATGAACCTCATCATCAGATAATTGCAAAAGAGATTCTTTAATATGTTTCATACCTAAGTTTAATCTCATACTTGTATTTTTTATGGTTTGACACGTCAATATTAAAAAGAGGTGAGACACAAGATGAGACGTATGATTCTCAAAATTAAAAATCGTGAATACCATTTATAACTTCATTTTTATTTTTCTAATATACTTCGTATTCTTTAAGAAACAAATTTACATCTTACGGTTGTTGGCTTTTGCATGACAAAAGCTCCAAAATTTTAAGTAGAAGAAACTATAACATGTGTTTCATAATGCATGTAAAGTCAAATGTTACAAGTAATTTGAGGAAATGGAGTATGTAAAATTACTTTATATCTTTGTAGCTATGGTACAAGAGAATACTCTGTAATATGCATACATGAAGAGAAGCCGCAATACACTAGAATTCGCTTTTAATAAAGTAAATATAAATATTCTAATAATCATATAGTAGAACAACCAATCTCATTAGCTACAAGCCTAGAAACCAATCCCCCAAAAAAAAAACTTACGTAAAAAACCAAATGAAATTTCAAAAAAAATTACATAATCTTATTGGATAACAGGCTTATAGCCGAAAACGTATCATAGAATATCTGCAAACCAAACTATACTGTATGCCCTCAACTGCCTCAAGCTATATTCTTCAATCAACCATCCCACTGTTTTTTGTTTACAGGTCAGAACAGAACTCAGAAGTCCTTCCTCATGAATGTTATGAAGCATGTACTGAACAAAGTTTCGAAGTTATGGTAGAGTCTTCAGCGGAAGGATTCGAGCCCCAACCTCGATACCAAGAAGTTGCATACTTCATCCATCTCCATAGGTATAGTATAATGACCAAGCCTGCATTATGACCAAACATTATTCCTCTTCAATTGAAAAGATTAACAAGGCAAAAACCAGTAAAACAGATGGACTGCAGGTGATTAGTAGTTGTTTTTGCAAAAGAAATGGAGGCTTGTACATACCCATCAAAGGTTTTAAATGTGAGATTTCGAAATCCAGCTGAAGTCAAGGCTTGAGCAGACTTCTCACCGAATCTGTATGCAACTACTTCATCAGCTGCAAGAGCAAAATGGTGATGTTAGCAATGGTATGTAACTGTCAGCAATGTTAATAGTGCTTTATGCATCATTCGCTATGACTGACCAAAATACGATTGAAGGATGAGGCAAATCGATGTTCATTAAACACGTTTCACCTCAAAGAAAATGCAACATCAAAACAAGAATTATCATACTTGTCATGTGAAGTTTAGAATGATAAGGGCCAAGTGTATAGCCGAGTTATTAACATACTGTTTATATTATCAAACAGAGTAAAATGGCGCGACTGCTTGTCTCTGAACTGAAGTATGAAGGAGAAAAGGTACAGAAGGACTTACATTTTCCATGACAGAGGAAAATTGGCAAGTACGCGGCCCTCCTTGCAGCATCATTTGAACCTCCCATTTTGTTCCTCAAACTCCTGGAACAATGAACATCAATTGAGAAACAAAAACTTGTTTTTGATCAGAACAATGAAAACACATTAGTTGCATGCTCTATATATGGGTAAATAGAGTATCAGGAAATCTTTAGTATACCTTGCACCTGGAAGCCAACCACTAAGTCCAACTATTGCCCTCAAATTGATTGGATAGAAGTTTCCATTCGCGTAATTCCCCACAGCGAAGCAGGATGCTGAGTAGAGACCAACAGCAGCACCCATACTAAATCCTCCAATACCAAGTTTAACTGTTTAGAAAAAGCAAGAAATCATCAGACCATCATTTTAACAGCAGGTGTAAAATGAAACTCACAAACATTTGTATTGTATTCTGGTTGGATTACACTAGTAAATAAAAAAAAATTAAGCTGTTATAAACTTATTGTTGTCGTAAAGTTTTATCATATTATTGCTACATATATTCTAGCTGTGCAAAGTTCAGACTGTTACCATCAGCAGGCTCTGTTGACAGTAGATTTGCAATATGTGACGCCGAGGCATCCAATCCCTCAAGATCGTCTTGGCTATCCTCTGAAATCTCCGTTACATCAAACCCTATTATACAGAGAAGGAACTTAGACAAGGTTTCCTCACAAAAGAAAAAATACTAGAAAAACAAAAGCAAATTATAAGTAATATAGGCAAATCATAAAATGAAATTTTTTCAGGAAATAAAGAAAGCTGGCTTACATGCTGTGCATGTAAATCCACCAAGTAATGCCACAGGGCGAGTTGGAGCTGTTGGGCATATAAATTTAACCTGCATCACAATGCATATTTGTATCAGTAAAGCTTTTTACAACACCCCAAAACATTCAACTCTCAGAAATAATAGCAGAAGATATGAAACCGTGTTTTGATATAAAGCGAAAATGCTTACATTTGGAAGAGGAAGAGATTCCAAGAGCTGACAAGCACTGCAAGAAAACCAATTGCACAAGAATAAGAAGGTATTGCAGAAAGAATGTTAAAACTTTTTTCCATAATTTCACGTCAATAGATCATACAAGATACTACTAACATGTATTGTAAAATGTATCGATTAACAATCATCAAAAGATAATTAAAGACATGAAAAAAAGACTCGAACCTTCAAAGACAGAAAAAGGGAAAAAGAAAAAAGGAATACAGCTGTAGCTCTAGATGAAGGTGGACTAATTTGGAATGATCTACTAGACGCTGATATTAGCAAGTATGCTTTAGGCATGAATTATGAATATAAGTTCGATACCAAAAACGTTTTTCATTACCTCTCTCACTCAATGATATAAGAGAATCAGCGTAAAGCAGTCCACTTTGCAAGCAATATGTAATAAAAGGATTCCAAAGTTGTCAAGGACTCAAAAGAGGCATTAAAAGGAACAAATAAAAATCGAACAACAACCATGGAAAACAGATTGCAGGAGAAAGCAAAACTTAAATTAGCAACAATTAAGACTTAACTTATGATAGCAGTAAGAGCAATGAGGAAAACAGGACTTAGGCTCGAATTATAATGATTCGAACTCTAAGCTTGATATTGTGTATTTGAGCAATGTCATGATTCATGATTCATGAGTTATATCCTAATAATCTTTTTTCAAACAACGCGCCACAATTAGTGATTTAGTGATTTCCAACATCGTTTCTAGTGATTACAACAAATGAACATACACAAGAGATAAACAAGAGAGAATGAGGACCTTGCTCCATTATCACCAAGTCCATGTAGCCAAACAATTGTAGCAAGATGCCTCCCTCTAGGCCTAACTACATGTGTCCTCCCAAACTCGAAAGTTCTCCTTGCGCCTCTAGCACCTAACAATATATATAATCCATGGTAATGAGCTCAAAAGTTCCAGGAAACTTCAAAACATATTATCCCAATAAATTCAATAATAACACCCCCAATAACCCAAATGCCTTTAACAAGGCTTCCACAGATAGCGGAGCTAACAGGTCAGATGTACACAATCTTATCAATACACATTTGAGCACGAAAAATGAACTCACCAGACCCAGTTGAGTAATTTGAGTAGCTCATATTGAAGTTGCAACAAAGTGTACTAGTAAAACACCCTATGTGTAATAGAAGTGAAGGAAAATACAATGAAAAAAAACCCAAGTATGATGGCCTATTTATATCAAAAAAAAGTGGGAGAATATATGAATATACAATAAATCAATGAAAAATAGTATAGTTGTGTGTAAACTTGTAAACTAGCTGAACTTTGTGCCTATAAAAAGGAGAGGTATAGATGAAAAGATAATGACAAAAGCTGGAAATCTTTTTTGGAAAGAGAATCAAAAACCATACCCATTCCATAGAGCACATTATTCATTAATTAATGTCTCTGCTAATTCAGAGGACTGCTGTTTTTTTTGGTTTTTTTTTTTTTTTTTTTTCTGAGGTGTTGGACTGCAGTTTCTTGCAGTTGGGTGAGAATCTAATACTTCTGGGCACTGTTCATTAAAAAAAAAAAATTGAGCCAACAGTGTAATTAAACTTCGGCAAATACTTGTATACAACGAGTTACATGTATACAGGTGTCGTTGGTTGCATAGTACGAAGTATACTTCTAGTCACCTAAATCACGTAAAAGTCATCGTTACAAGAGACTTATCATAGGGGACTTGAAAATTTATCAACTCAAAATTAATCATATTTATGGCAAAGGGGCTCATAAATCAAACAAGAGAGCTTTTGGATTCACCTTTTGACTCTAAGCAATTAAGTTGCTCATCCAAGAGGTCCGTAGAGTTGGACACGACCAAGCCATGCAAGCCAACATGTTATGTCAGCAAGCTTCGCTCAAACAAATTGTATCTAGAATGGGCTAAGAAAAAGTTGTAACATGTTAGGCTCGCACTAAATGTTTAAATATATAGATAATTCATGCACGACTCAACCCACTTGACATATTGTGTCAAGTTGTGTCAATGGATCCTCTTTACATTATTTGCCATTCTATAATAGTTAAACATAATAATAAAAAAATAAAAAGTAAAAAATAAAAAAATTAATGGTATGAATATATTAAAACTCCTGTTGAAAAAAACATGGAGGACGCAAAAAATCAAGAAGGTCCTTTACACAATTTGAAATGGGTTCAATTTATTTCTTTAACAACACGGTTGATTGATGCCCATTAAAGAGGTTCGATTTTGAGTTCATAGTGAAAGAATATCAATTTTTAATTTGCGAAAAAGAAAAAGGAAAAAAGTAGTGGAAATTAGTAAAGACAAGAATAGTTTTGAGATTTTTTTTTTTTTTTTTTTTTGTTTTTAGAAAAGTTTTGAGATATTGGTACTTTAAATATCTTTGTGTAACAATTTATTAAAGTACAAATTTACACTTTCTTCAAACATGGACATGAGAACACACGTGTGTTATATTACAGAGTAGTTTGATATCTGAGTTTAATCGAAATTTTAGGCATTTGAGGTTAAGACGAGCAAGTCCAAGTTACTCATTTTGAGTACTAACTAATTTTATTACTCAAACGACATTTTTGTAATATTTGTCTTGATATGCGCGGACGAAGGTCCACCTTCATCTTTTTCACATCCGAAACCACGACCCACCTCCACCTCCATTTTTGCCCTCTTTCCTCCTCCTCCTCACACCATTATCAATTTAACTCTCAGTACACCATTGAAGCAACTTAAACTTTCCTTTCTCGTGCACCACCATTTTCACCGTCGACTGACGAATTTAACAAAAATCCTTAGAAAAATGGAGAAAAGAATGGAAAGGGTATGACTGTTGTCCTCCTCCATTGAAACCAATTGCAGAGTTCGATTTCTCCATTGAAAACTTTGAAGATCTGTTGATTTTTCCCCATTAAAGCCTCTTCTGTTTTCTTCACTTTTACCTTGTTTTGACAATTTTACCCCGACTTTATATAGCAAATGACCAGCGTGTCCTTTGAGTAGCTTTGGTTGTTAATTATAATGAGTAACTTCGGTTTTCTCAAGTTAAAGCATAATTACATTTTCCTTAGTATAAGTAAAACTAAGTCAATCAATGAATTTTTTTGTAATTTGTAGATTTTTGTTTTATATAGTAGGATTTTTTGTCATAAGGTATTAATAAAACTTAGATTTTGTGAGAAACTACCTAATAAAACTTAAATTGTGTGAGAATCTACCTAATAAAAGGTAAAATGTTGTAAAATATTACCTTAGTCGGATTTCCACTGTTGACCCACCTCAAAACACCCTCAAAACCACCGTTTTCATCCCAAAACAAACACAACCTGCTAAAAATTACCTCCACCAACGCCAAAACCATCCTCCAACCCCAACCCCAAAACCACAACCTCTAACCCTAAAAACCACCATCCCGAAGCACGAAACTATCCTCACCAACTCGGAATATCCTCCAACCACCCCAAAAATAACTTTACCACATTGAAAACCAACCCCCGCGGTGGTTTCGGGTGAGTTTTGAGGTGGGTCAATGCTGTAAAATTAGGTCAACAGTAGAAATTCGGCCAAAAATAGTATCTTACAACATTTTATCTTTTATAAGATAGTTTCTTACAATATTTTTTTATTAGGTAATTTCTCACAAATTTTTGGTTTTATTAGGTAATTTCTGACAAAAAAATCCTATATAGTAAAATCAGTTTCAATCAGTAACCATATTTCAACGAAATGATACCCAAACCGGCCGATAGCTTCCTAAAATAATGCAAATTATTGCAACGACATAATATCATTTATGTGTTAAGGATTACTATGTTGATCTTCTCCTCCGAATTCTCAGCTTATATAATTTGAGACATAAATGACTCTAATAAAACGTGTTGGTATTACATTATAGTTTAGCTTGTATTATCATAATACCAAAATAGTTTCAGTGGTACCAACGAATTGAATGAAAAAAAATTGTTGGTATTGATATAGTTCCTTGTTGGTATTTAGATGATACCATCTAAACACAATGTAATATCAATGACGTGTTATTAGAGTCATTCATGACTCAAATTATTAGATATAGAGAATTTTTCGATCTTTTCCTACTTCCATAAATTTACTTAGTTTCGAGAAAGATTAATCTATTTGTTCAATTCCATAAAGATTATCACATATACTATTCATGTGGTCAAAAATTAAATTTTACTAATAAAATAAACATAATTATAGATGATCTTGTTGAATTTGCTTGTTTCAATCTTACTTAATGTTCTTTTTATCAATTTTTCATAATTTTTACTAAATTGAAAATAATTAAGGATCAAATGTGTGCATTGAAAACCAATGCAAGCTAAGCAATCTGCATATATAATAGCCTTTGAGAAACAAAGTGAGTACTTACCCTTTTTTTTTTTTTTTCAACAATAAGAAATTATACGTAAACTATATTCCTTTTTCATCTATTTTATTGACTCAAACCTCTTTGCAATAGTTGTTAATCAATTTTTTTCATTTCTTTTTATATTTTAAATAACCTTTCAATTTTCCATAGGTTTCCAAGCACCTTCGTCTATTGATGCCTATAAGAAATAACTCAATGCACCGTCCATTGTACAAATTATTCTTTTTGTCATCCACACAAAACTTGTTTATATAAATTAATTAGTTTTTGCATATTCAATCTCCACTTATAAATTTATAATTGGGGCTAGGTATATGATTAATTATGTAACAAGTTACTCACTACATCAACATTAATAATTTAATAATTATAACGATATTATATGATCTCCACGTATAAATAATGTATTTTGGAGTCTAGCTAGTAAAGCTTAAAAGCTAACTTTAATTTTTATGTGAATTCGTTGACTTTTGATTGTAATTAATTTTGTACTTAATAATATTTTAGCTAACTTTAAAAGCTAACCCCGTTGAAATTGTAGCATCAAAAATTAGCATCTAAGAACCTTTATTAATAAATCAACATTACGACATTTTTTTCCCTTTCTTTAGGATAAAAAAGAGTAGAAACTTGGGTTAGGCGTTTTTAAATTGTCAACTTTGCACCCTACCTTATTATGAAAGAATATCTTTACTACAAAATATGCATGTACATATACCTAAGTTAATAGTGTTGTTTATATATAATAATATTATATTATATATTGTTGTCATAAAGTTGTGGGCAAGTGGTATATATTAACCATATACATCTAGGTAACGTTTATTCCTAGCTTATGTCTATTCTCACTTTATTAGTTGATTCGAAAATTAATTTTCACTAAATAGTTAATAGAGGAATAAGCTACATACATGAGAGTGAGAACAAATTCCTTAACTATCATACGATAATCATATACCAATAAACTTTACATAAAATAAGTATCATACTTTGTATTAGCTTTTGTGATGGTATTGGACTAGTGATATTATACTATAGTGCATCCGAGAGTAGCATAAATTGTGTGTGTACATCGAAGTATGCACATTATGTGCGTGATTACGTGAATGTCTTGGAAAGACACATGACACCTTCACACTCATTGTGTGTCTTATGCATTTGTATAAGAGCTTAAATAATTGTCAATATCATTACATGTACGTTTTATAAGATATGTGCATATATAGTAAGATTAGCATGGCTTTCAAGTCAAAAAAGAAAAAACAAATAGTATGACTCTAAAAATTAACTTTATTTTACTTGAAAATAAATTTCCTTAAGGATATATGTACGTTTGCTTATCTACATAAGAAACTGAAATTATTGAAATTAATTGATTGGTCATCAAATTTTTAGTAAGGCGCCTTAAGAGCTTATCCTAGATTATCAAATGATAAACAAATTTTGTTTATCAAATAATATTTTTTAAATAAATCAATAACTTTATGCTTATAATATCGACTGTGAATCCGCATTTAAAGAAAAAAGTTGTTAATTTATTTACGAAAATGCTATTTGATATACTTTTGTTTTCTGCTTATATAATGCTAAGCACGATTGCAAAAGTATTCTGTAATTCCTTTTTATTAAAGTTCCAAAAAAGTGATTGCATGTATGCATGGAAGTACAATTTTCCAATACTTTAAGTGAAAAGAATGGAGTTTAGCAAAAGAATTTAGCAATAGTGAAATGAAAAAAAAAAAAAAGATCCCGACTTTTATTGTTCTACCATTGTATTTGTACCATAAGTAGCATAATTATTAGTTAATGATAAGAAAAGGGATTATAATTAACTAATTTGTAACCATTAACCATCGGCCTTTGGGATCTATTGAGACATGTTTTTGAATAATAATAAATCACACGAATCTTGCTTGGTTTTTGTGAAAAGAGAATTTGATTCATGCTATGGACGGCTGATTTTTTTATACATAATAATATATATATATAAAAGGAGTGTTTTTTTTTTTTAATGTATATAATA